AGACACTATGAGGCTGGGTGCTGTGGCTCACAGCCGGTAATCTCGGCACTTTGAGCACTTTGGGGGGCCTCAGCAGGAGGATTGTGTGAACCCAGGAAGTTCCAGACAAGCTTGGGCAAGTTCCACACTGGCTCAGGGCTTACTAATGGCTTAGAGCCTATGGATGGCATCCCCATGTTTTCTCCACAACTGCAATACAGAAGTTATTCTCTCATGGGAAGTAACTGGTTTTTAAAAGAAAAAAAAACCCAGATGTTCTCTGGAGGAGCCACACCCAGTCCCAGGCCCAGCCCCCATCCTCTGACCCTTCATCCCACCATCCCATCACCTTGCTAGAGTGTGAGTCTTGAATGGTGGCGCCTGTTTAGTTTGCTTCTCAGGAAGCCTCAGACCACTGGACTCCACGCTAAAGCTTCTTCCTGATAAAGAAAAATATCAGACAAGTTTAACAGCGCTTATTTGAGCAAAGAACGAACGATTCACCAGTCATGCAACCCACAGAAGAAGAAGAGGTTTTGAGAGCTCACCTCCGCAATTTGGGCAGTGAGGGTTTTGGATGGATATGTTGAGAGTAAATCTTTAAGAGGATTTATTCTGAGTCAAACATGAGTGACCGTGGCCCGTGACACAGCCTTCGGGTGGTCCTGAGAATGTGTGCCCAAGGTGGAAAGGGTACAGCTTGGTTTTATATATTTTAGGGAGGCATGAAACATCAATCAAGTACATTTAGGAAATACATAGCTTTGGTTCTGAAAGATGGATGACTCAAAGACAGGGCTTCTAGGCTATAGGTAAATTTGAACATTTTCTGGTTGACAATTTGTTGACTTTATGTGAAGACCTGAGGTCAACAGAAAGGAAATGTTCAGGGTAAGATAAAGGATTGTGGAGACCAAGTTTTACTGTGCAGAGCAAGCTCTCAACAGACTTCAGAGTGAACAGGTTGTAAAATGTTTCTTTTCTTTTTTTTCTTTTTTTTTTGAGACGGAGTTTCACTCTTGTTACCCAGGCTGGAGTGCAATGGCGCGATCTCGGCTCACCGCAACCTCCGCCTCCTGGGTTCAGGCAATTCTCCTGCCTCAGCCTCCTGAGTAGCTGGGATCACAGGCATGCGCCACCATGCCCAGCTAATTTTTTGTATTTTTAGTAGAGACGGGGTTTCACTATGTTGACCAGGATGGTCTCAATCTCTTGACCTCATGATCCACCCGCCTCAGCCTCCCAAAATGCTGGGATTACAGGCATGAGCCACCGCGCCCAGCGTGTAAAATGTTTCTTATTGGACCTAAAAGTGTGCCCGGCTCTTAGCTGATTATCTCCTGGATCTGGAAAGGAAAGAAAATTTAAAAAAAAAAAAAATTGAGCCGGGCGCGGTGGCTCAAGCCTGTAATCCCAGCACTTTGGGAGGCCGAGGCGGGTGGATCACGAGGTCAAGAGATCGAGACCATCCTGGTCAACATGGTGAAACCCCGTCTCTACTAAAAATACAAAAAATTAGCTGGGCGTGGTGGCGCGTGCCTGTAATCCCAGCTACTCAGGAGGCTGAGGCAGGAGAATTGCCTGAACCCAGGAGGCGGAGGTTGCGGTGAGCCGAGATCGCGCCATTGCACTCCAGCCTGGGTAACAAGAGCGAAACTCCGTCTCCAAAAAAAAAAAAAAAAAAAAAAAAAAAAAAAAAAAAAAAATTGGTGGTGGGTAAGGGGATTCTCTGTAGAATGTGGATTTTTCCCATAAGGGATGGCTTTGCACAGCCATTTCAAGATATCACAGAGAAACATGATTTGGGGTAGTCTTACTTTCTTCCTTGTTATACCAGAGTCAGATTGGAAAGTAAGTGATGATATTCATTGTTAAATAAAACCCATCAGATGAGAATTTATGATTTGTAGGGCATGACTCCCCAGACCCCTTAATAAGAATTTGGGGAAGATAAAGATATACATATATAAGTATATATCATTGAAGCAGGAGCGGCCATGAGAAGCAGACCTCTCAGATACTGAACTAGAAAAGGAAGGGGTTTTATTATTACAGCCCGGGAGCAAGGCTTTATGTTTTGTCCAAACAGCCAAGCTCCCCTAACAAAGAGAAGCTCTGCCTTTATATAGGCTTACACTCTAGATAATACACGTGAAAGGGTCTTAGGTTTACAGCCTTAGAAATTACAAGTGAAAGGGTCTTGGGTTTACAGCTTTAGAAATTGGTCTCTGGATGGAGAAGTGGGGTGGGGGTTTGATCTTGTTTAAGTAAAACCAGTGTCTTCCAGAGAGATACCCCCATACCCATATCAGGCGTGCTATCTTACAGGAAGGTGATTCAGGAGGGGCCAGTCAGCAAGCCTTTTCTTCTATTGAAATGCAGTGTGGAAGTCAAGGGGAAGGTGATCTTAGATGCCTGGATCTCCTTCCTCACCACCCACTTCGAGACCCTCACCACTTTAAAATATTAGTGAGAGGTCTCATTCTCATTTTCCAGATCCTCTGAAGAAACTGATTGATAATGATGGATATAAAACACTTTGCCACTTCTAACAATCTTTGGCCAGCATAATTATATTAACCCAGAATTCTAACTTCATTCTACTTTCTATGTGGTGATCTGTCTTCTACTTTGTCCTAGTCTATTTTAAAATTTTTGTTATAAACTGGTTCAAATTATTTAAAGAACACCAGGCACGGTGGCTCATGCCTGTAATCTCAGCACTTTGGGAGGCTGAGGCCAGCAGATCACTTGAGATCAGGAGCTCCAGACTAGCCCAGCCAACATGGTGTACTATAATACACAATAAAAGATGGCTATTAGAATTATAACTTGGGGGATGTGCAACCACACTTAATAACCACATGAAAAAAGACACTGTGAAGAAACACATCTGACTGGTCACCAGTAGCACAGGTCATTGTTCCTTAGGAGCTGGTCCACCATGTCCTCCACTGGGCAAAGCTGGGCACCGCTCTGTAAATGACGGGAGTGTCTCTCACATCACCGAGTACTAATCAATAACCATATCACATACCCTTATACATATAAATTCAATTCTCTATCCTGTATAAACACAGAACCCCGTCTCTCTATCAGAGACACACATACTACATTCCCAGAATACATAACCCTAATAACCACTTACTAAAAAATACAAGCACATAGCCCCACAAAACATTCATCCAAACTGCCAGGCCCTTGAACACACAAACTCAATGCTCATGTAGTTCTCTGCATGCCCTAAATATACCCACAATTAACTAACACCACAAATATGCTAACATGGCACTTCATATCCCCAAATACACACACAGTCCCACAATACCTGCACATATGTAATCACACTTCCAAATACTCATGTAAAAATAACTCCTCCATCTTCCAAGGCACAAGAATCATACAAACTCCACCTCACAACTGCACACATTCATCCTACCAGTCCCCCAAAAGTCATGGATCTGCCCTTATACATTGAAATAGCCATACACAACACCTGGCTATTTGTCGTGGTATAACTGTTTTTCCCTTAAATCGTGCTCTGCACTGTGTCTGCTCCAGACATTCCTCTGACTATAAGCTGCTTATTCCTTAATTCATGCTCTGTACTGTATCTGCTCTAGGCATTCCTCCGATTATGAACTAATATATATATATGGAAATAACTGAGTAGTAACACTATAAACTAAGATATTCTCCAGGTCTTAATTTTGTCAGGATTCTGCTTAGCTCTCCTTCCTCGGTACCTATATGCAGGGTTACCCACACATTCCCACAGGAGCTACGGCAAAGCCCAGAGGGGCCAAGGGAGGCCACTGTCCCCATACCCCATGCCTCCCTTCAAGAGAGGAATGTGCTTCTCCAACAGGACAGCTCCCAGGGGCATATGTTGGGTACTGACCAGGTCAACACTCACTTTGTGGGCGGCCCATGGTCATAAAGGAGGGTATTGACCTGGTCAGTTTTCTTAGCTACTCTCCCCTCGCCTGTCCAAAACTCAACATATAATCTGCCCAGGAACAGGGATGAGCGGGTAGAGTACCTGGCATATCGGTGGCGCCAAAATTCCTCCAAAACGATGCTGTCAGATGCGCCCCTCCTGCGGCGTCTCTGGGGCGCTGTGGTTCATGTGGTCCTGACTCCGCTGGGACCCACTTCACGTCCCCGTGCCCTGCCCTCCCCTGTGTGGTGCAGGCAGAAGGAGCAGCCCTCACCACGCCCATCCTCCTCCCTCCCTGCCTCAGTGTACCTTCCCAGCAAGGCCAGCCCCAAGGCCCTGCCTGCCTGCCTGCTGCCACCCAGGCCCCAGCGGCCAGCGGAGACCAAGGCCCCCGAGGAGATCCCCCCTGAAGCAGTGCAGGGTCTGTCAGTCTTTCCCAGACCCTCCAGTTCTGAAAGCACTCTAGCTGCAGGCCAGAGCCCCCTTCTCATGGCTGGGATCCTGTTCCCCAGTCCTGCTCAATTACTCTGTGCAGCAGGCACTTCTGTCTCCGTCTCCACTGGGAGTTGAACCTCCCACCTCCATGCCCCAGGAATGCTGTTCCTCTACTTCAGAGAAGCCCCTGCTCCCTGGCACTGTAGACACCAGGTGTAGTCTCGGCTGCTCTGAAGGCCTGGCTGCTTCCCGTTGCAGGAGCAGTGTGATTGCAGACTGACCCCGCTCCCTTCCAACTAGTGGCCCCAGCTCCCTCAGCACCCCTAGTGACCCCCATCCCTGCTTTCCTCCCAGGAGCCCTCTCTGTGAGGACCCAGGTCTCTGTACTGGGAGTCGGACAAGGAACCCCATGGAAAGGGCAGGCCCTGAGGAGCAGGAGGCGCCTGGGAGGGCCGTGTGGACTGGACGAGGAGCTAATGACTCTTTTATTGGGATTGGTTTTGTGCTGCCAAGCTTGGTTTGGGGAGTGGCAGTTGACAGAAAAGCCAGGATTAGGAACTATTCAGAGGCGGGCTGGCGAGAGGGAGGGTCCAGCGTGGGCACCCCAGCCTGAGCAGAGAGAAGGTGTCGAGGGGCTCTGTGGTCATCATAGGGTCTGCCATGGGGCCCTGAGGGTAAGTGGCATCAGGAACCAGGTCTGTGGAGGCACAAGGGCTGTGCAGGGCCCAGGCAGGCCAGCAGCCCTCAGAGGTTTGGGTGGAGGGCGGGTGTGAGGAGCCACCGTGGGGTCAGGAAGAGGAGTGAGCCTCATGATTTCGTCGATCCAGTTGGCAAAGTAGCTGACCCTGGTGAAGATGCTGGGGTAGGCAGGATGCCGGCAGTCCAGGCCCCAGCTGGCCAGCCCCACCAGGACCCAGGCACTGGGGAGGTAGCAGACTAGAGGACCCCCAGAATCACCCTGAGGACAGAGAGACAGGAGTTAGTTTTGGGGGCTGAGTGGGGCTGAAACGCCAGATGGCAAGGTTGGGCGCTCTGTGCCTCCGCTGTCTGAGTCAGGGTCCCACTGCAGACCCACCAGATAGAAATCTCTAGGCGTTAAGCTCCTGAGCTGACCCTCAGAGCAGACAATCGTGGATCTGAATCTATCAACACACGGACCCACCCTCTGCCCCCGACACCCGGGACAACACACTGCTTGAAGCCTAGAGGGGACAGCTGTAGGTAAGGGCTGAGAGGGGCTGGGCCTGCCAGCGAACCTCCACCAGCTGCAACCTCTGCGCAGAGCCAAGCTCTTGCAAACCCTAAGCTGCAGCAGAGCATCCCTTCCAGGGCCCTTCGCTGTTCTGTTCATTTGGGCCTTTGGTTTTCTCTCAACTTTTTGGTAAACTATCTTTAGAGAGTGCCCATGCCCAGGGCTTGTGGAGACAGTCCACATCACTAGGGAAGCAGGCAGGGTCTCCAGAAAGTTGCTGAGAGGTACTGGAGCCCTGAAACGCTGGCAGGGTGGGATCACGCAGTGGAAAAGTCCCCTATATCATGGGCCAAAAAGTGAGACCCAATGAAAAGGTTTCACCTCCAGGGTGGCTGGCAGCAGGGCCCAGAGCCGGCTCTTCCACCCACCAGTCTAGTGCGAATGTGGGGCATCCGGTGCAAGCGCTGCTCTTGGGAAACACGGGGGGAAGACAAACCTCCTCCCCCATGGTACTTAGATAAATCAGCCAACCGACCCTGTGGAAACAGGGAGAACATTTCATATCCTTTGGTTACTACACGCTTTCCTGAGCTGACACTGAAAATAGGAAACAGAACCCACCGCTGCAAGGTCCAGAAGAGAGGGCCCAGTCGGTGTAAACCAGGAGAGGAGGGGGCAAGCCTCCTGGTAGGGAGCTCCGGGGCAGAGGGAGGTGCCAGAGCCACAGCGGGGCAGCTTGGAGAACTGTATGCTGGGGGTGGGGGACACAGGACCTGTCTAAACCGTCAGTCTGATGCCATGTGGAGAAGGAGTAGTTGCTGAGCGCCAGGTAGAGAGGAGGGAGAGGGAGGCAACTACGGGAGGGAAGAAACGGTCAGATTTGGGATGGTATTTTGAAGGAGAAGCCAAGGGTCTTGTGGAGTCTGACGTTTTCAACCAGGGGAAAGGTGCAGAGACAAAAGGAAGCCGGCTGAGGACTCAGCTCCGGGGTCTCCAGCACTGAGAGGCCGGGAGGGCAGAAGCAGCCGGTAGCAAAGAGTGGGAGCGGAGCGGCTGGGGCCCGGCACCAGGGGCTGAGCAGAGATGCTGCTGATGCGTTAAGGGAGCGGTGGCTCTGCCAAGGCAGAGGCTGCGGACACAGTGACTCTGGTGGCACGAGAGATACAAGGCTGGAGTGGGTGACTCGGTGCAGTCAACCCTGGAAGGAGTCTTCGGGGAAGCAAGGCAGGGAAAGGGGGCAGTAGCTGGAGGAGATTGTTGCCATGTGTTGCCATGGGAGGTGTGAGAGGGAGAGCAGGGGGCACGGGAGCAGGGGAAAGGCCCTCGGGACCCGGTGCTCAGGGATGGGCTGGCCCAGGATGAGCTACCAGGACAAGGGGAGAGACGGGGCAGTGGGGTGGGCGACACAGGGCCAGGAGGAGCGAGCTTCTCAGGCTTCCTCTCCTCAGTTTCCTGAGAAGCAAGATAGCATGCTGGGAGGGGGGGCCTGGCTCGGGGAGTGGAGGCCTGAGGAGAGAGAAGGGGGGACATGGTGCGGTCACTGAAGAATGGCTCCAAAGACATCTGCATTCTCATCCCAGGAAACTGTGAGGGCCTTATCTTACATGGCACAGGGGAGTTTGCAGCTGGGGATGAGTGGGGAATCTTGAGACAGGAGATTACTCTGGAGTATCTCAAAAGGCCCAGTGTCATCATGAAATTCTTTATACGGGAAGGCAGGAGACAGGAAGGTCAGAGTCAGAGGAGGAGATACAGCGACAGACTCAGAGGTCACACTGAGAGCTTCGAAGATGGAGAGAGACCAAGAGCCCAGGAGTGCGGGCGGCCTCTAGAAGCTGGAAAAGGAAATTGAATCCCCTCTCGAGCCTCCAGAAAAAACCAGCCCTGCTGAGACCTTGATTTTGACTTCCGACCTCTAGAACTTCAAGACAACAGACATCTGTGGTCTCAGCCACCCAGTCTGTGGTGATCTGCTCCTGCAGCCCTAGCAAATTCATGCACAGGGTCTTCTTGGGAGTGGAAGGCGCCCTCGCTGTCTCAGCTCTGCCCCTCAGTGCTTCCCCGCTCAGAGCGCTCACCCAGCTCGTTAGAGGACAGGAGGAGGCCTGGTCCTCGGGCAGTGGTTCCTGGCTACTCCAGGCCTCAGCGATCCATGCAGATGAACCACCTGCTTGCCAACATCATGCTGGATTCTGGGCTCATCTGGGAGAGACGGGAAGGACTCCAAGGGTCTCTTGGCCCTGACCCCTGGGAGCTCTGAGTAGGCAGAGGAAGTCCCAACACTAACGTACCCAATGCAAACTAGACCCTGGTTTGCACTACTGTGGAGACAGAAGCCCAGTGGTGAATCTCACCTTGAGTGAAAGGGCAGATCTGAGACAGACCCGGAAGAATGAGTACAATTCAGAGGAAAACAGACAAGGCCAGGAACATGGAAGCCAACACTTATGAAGCCCCTGCTAAACACCAGGCACGATGCTACATTGTCTTTTCTTTTTTTTTTTTTTGAGATGGAATCTCACACTGTCACCCAGGTTGGAGTGCAGTGGCACTCTCTCGGCTCACTGCAACCTCCGCCTCCCGGGTTCAAGTGATTCTCCTGCCTCAGCCTCCTGAGTAGCTGGGATTACAGGTGCCTGCCATCACACCTGGCTAATTTTCATATATATATATATATATATATATATATATATATATATATATTTTTTTTTTTTTTTAAGATGGGGTTTCACCATGATGGCCAGGCTGGTCTTGAATTCCTGACCTCAGGAGATCCACCCACCTCGGCCTCCCAAAGTGCTAGGATTACAGGCGTGAGCCACCGCATGTGGCCCAATTTTCATATTTTTAATAGAGATGGGGTTTCACCATGTTGGCCAGGCTGGTCTTGAACTCCTGACCTTGTGATCCACCCACCTCAGCCTCCCAAAGTGCTAGGATTAGAGGCATGAGCCACTGCGCATAGCCACGGTGCTACATTTTCTACGGGAACCTATGAAGTGGAGGCTGTTAGCAAGCCCATTGTACATTAGCTAAGGTGAGGAAACTTAGCTAAGGTTACAGCACATGCAAGTGACAGAGTGAAGACTGCAGTCAGCTGTGTCCTGCCTGCAATCTGAGCACTGAGTCACCCTGCAGCTGTCTCTCCTCAGAGCTGTTTCTACACCATCCATGCAGGCAGAGAAGAGAGCCCTGGGGTGGAGGTGGGGAGCACAGCAGACGGCTCAGCAGGAGATGAATTCAGATGGTATCTCACGGGTGACTGAAAGGCTCAGGAGACATCCGCCTCAGTGGTGTCCTCGGCCTGGACTAAGAACTAGAGGAGGGGCGGGGCTGAGGGGCATTGTGCGATGTCCAGCGGGCAATCAAACTGTGCTGGCCCTGAGCTCCTGGGGCACGGCCTTGGCAAGAGAGGATGGCAGAGAACAAGGCTGGAAGGGAACTGGACTAAGGACTTGGTGGCTGAGCTCCACCAGGGCTGGGCACTGGGCAGGCTCCCTGCTCCCCCGGGGGTGCAGATGACTCTGTGGGGAGAAGGGGCCAGTCCACACAGCCAGGAAGGAGGGACAATGAAGTATGTGGACATGGACGGGAAACCAAGGCAGGCAGGTGGGCCGAGCTCCCTCCCACTGCTCAGCCAGCTCACCAGGCAATATTGAACACCGTGCTGCCAGTGAGCCCTTCGCACAGGCCAGGAGGATTCAGGGCTCAGACTAGTGGGCAGGAGAGACCTGGTTCCAGTTTTCAGTCTGTCGTTTTGCTAGCACTGTGACCTTAGCTAAGCACATTCATTTCCAAGGGCTTGCCATAACACGGTGCCACCACCTTCATGGCTTCGAAGCAACAGAAATGTATTCTCTCACAGTTCTGGAGGCCAGAAATCCGAAACCAGCATGCTTCCAGGGACACACTACCTCCAAAGGCTCTAGGGGAGGACCCTCCCTTGGCTCTTCCAGCTTCTTGAGGCACAGGCATTCCTTGGCTTGTGGCGGCATCCCTCCCCTCTCCATCTGTCCTCACATGACCATCTTCTCCTTGTGTGTCTCTACGGCCTCTCCCTCTCTTACAAGGATACCAGTCATTGAATTTAGGGCCCACCCTAAATCCAGGATAGCTTCACCTTGAGATTCTTTACTAATTACATCTGTAAAGATCCTATTTCCAAATAAGGTCACACTCTGAGGTTCCAAGTGGATGCCATCCCTTTAACCACCTCATGGAGGAGGCCGTGGAATCCTCACACAGTTGATGAGGATCCAGGCTCAGAAGTTGAAGAGAACATCCCAGGTCAGGGCTGGCACATGTGGCGGAGCAATGTCTCTCATTCCAGGGTCCCAGCGCTTTCCTCTCTGCCCCACTGTGGTGTCTACACAAAAGCTCAGCCCACAGATGTCAGCTCACGACCTGTGGGAGAGGATGTGGAGGCCGGGTTGGCCTCGGAGTAAGAACACCTAGGCCCGGGTTGTGCTGCCTCACTTAGGCTAGCTGCTTTTCCACTCTGGGCCTCCATTTCCCCACCTATAACATGGGACATTACAGAAGGTTGAAGAGGATCTTCACAATCCATATCATGAGCTTATATCCAGAATACATAAAGAGCTACTAGAAGAAAAAGAAGGACAACCCAACAGAAAAATGAGAAGGGAAAAAAAACTTGAAAGGAAACTTCATAGAAGAAGATATAAACTAATAATAAACATACAAAACATTTTAAGCCCAAAACCACTATACACTCACCAAAATGGCCCAAATCAGCAAAGGTGGAAAGGGCCAAAGCTTGGTGAAGAAAGAAGCTCTCATCCTCTGCCAGAGGGAAGGCTGTTCCCCATTCTCTGCCAAAGCTGAACACACAGACACACCTTTTTCTTTTTTTTTTTTTTTTTGAGATGGAGTTTCGCTCTTGTTACCCAGGCTGGAGTGCAATGGCGCGATCTTGGCTCACCACAACCTCTGCCTCCTGGGTTCAGGCAATTCTCCTGCCTCAGCCTCCTGAGTAGCTGGGATTACAGGCACGCGCCACCATGCCCAGCTAATTTTTTGTATTTTTAGTAGAGACGGGGTTTCACCATGTTGACCGGGATGGTCTCGATCTCTTGACCTTGTGATCCACCCGCCTTGGCCTCCCAAAGTGCTGGGATTACAGGCTTCAGCCACCACACCCGGCAGACACACCTTTTTCTCTCCAGCGGTTCTATTCATGGGCTTCTATGTAATAAAACATATTCATCTGTGCCCCAAAGACAAACACAAACATGCACATAGCACAGCTACTCACAATACCTACAACTCGGAAACTACTCAAATACTTCTCCAGCATAGAATTGACAACAGAATTCAGTTCACACAATAGCACACTATAGAGCAATGGGAAGGAACACACTGACAACGTGTAATAGTATGGACGAATCTCAGAGATATACCATTAGGACACAAAAGAGTGCTGGCTGTAAATTCCAGTTATGCAAAGTTCAGAATCTAAGGTGTCAAAAGCAAAGGTGTTGGTTACCCTTGGGCGTTAGTGATAAGAAGGGAGTACATGGGTGCTTCTGGGGTGCTGGTAACATGTTGTGTCAGTGTGGGAAAGCTAACCAAACTATATACTTATTAATTATGTACTTTTGTGTATATATATTATGCTTCAATAAAAAGTTTAAAATGTACCCCAAAAAAAGGATGCTGTTTGAGGATCCTTCCAGCAGATGTTCCTGCTGGAATGGGCTGGGGAAGGGCCTAGACTAGGGGAGATTTCTGAGGGATGGAGCCCAGGAGGACATGCAGAGGAGAGAAAGAGGGAAGTCCAGGGGACTCCACAAAGAGAGCAGAGGCAACACAGAGACCCCTCCCAGGGGAAACTGAGGCCAAGAGAATATGCAAAGGAAAAGTGGACATGACCTTACTCACTTTGCAGATGGACTTTCCTGTGGAGAAATCCCCCACACACAGCATCTCCTCATGCACAACGTAGGTCTCGCCTTTGCCAGTTCTTTGCCCGTATAAGGTATTACAGAGTGTGTTCTCAATGAAGCCCACCTTGCCCTCCTGGAGATAGAAGGGTGGTGACAGTCGCACTGCAGAGGTAAGGGGGAGGTCAGTAACATGTCCTGTAGGTTAACTAAGAAAGCTCAGGCTACTCTGAGCCCCTACTCTGCCTGATTGTTAATCACAACCCCTCAAACACAGGGTTTCTCAGAACTGCTGAGCTTTAGACACTGCTTCACTTGCTACCCATCCTTGATAAGTGCCTCTCCTTTTTCTCAAACCTTTGCACATAGTCATCCTATTCCCTCTACCTCTCTCATAGCAATAGATCACACCTCTCATATTCTACAAGAGGTAAATCCCACATGACTCATTCACTGGGACTTAGAAACTATTCAGTGACCAACCTACCCTTTCATGAACTGTCCCATCCATTTTCCATCCATCTATCACTAACCTTTCTTCTCCACCCATCCTCCCATCCACTCACTCACCCATTCCTCCATCTACCTATCTTCCCACATATCCTCATTCATCTATTCACTTCCCACACATGTGCCCATCTAGCCATCCTTTCATCTATCTCTCCATCGAGTCCTCCATCACTCACTCACCTATCCTCCTCTCCATCTACGAACACATCCACCCACTCCATCCATCCACCCACCCACTCACCAATCCTTCTATCTACACATCTATCCAAACATCCATCTACCAACTCAAGTACCATCCATCCACCCATCCGTCCACCCATCCATCCAATCATCCGTCCATCTATCCAACCATCCATCAACTTACCCATCCATCTACTTATCCTTCCATCCATGCAGTCACCCATCCTCCAGTCCACACATCTATTAATTCATCCATGCAGGCACCCATCCTTTTATCCATCAATTCATCATCCATTTATCCATCCACACATGCATCCATTTGCTAATCCAATCACTGATCTATTCACTCAGCTATTCGGCTATCCTGGTGCCAAGTGTCGTTTCTATGCTTAATGATATAGATAATTTTTAGTAGGAAGTGACAGATTAAGTGAAATAATAAATAAAAGTATTTGGCCAGGCATAGGTGGCTCACGCCTGTAATCCAAGCACTTTGGAGGCCAAGATGGGCAGATCACCTGAGGTCGGGAGTTCAAGACCAGCCTGACCAACATGGTGAAACTCCCTCTTAAAAAAATAAATAAATAAATAAAATAAAAATAAAAATGAAGGCCGGGCGCGGTGGCTCAAGCTTGTAATCCCAGCACTTTGGGAGGCCGAGGCGGGTGGATCACGAGGTCGAGAGATCGAGACCATCCTGGTCAACATGGTGAAACCCCGTCTCTACTAAAAATACAAAACATTAGCTGGGCATGGTGGCACGTGCCTGTAATCCCAGCTACTCAGGAGGCTGAGGCAGGAGAATTGCCTGAACCCAGGAGGCGGAGGTTGCAGTGAGCTGAGATCGCGCCTTTGCACTCCAGCCTGGGTAACAAGAGTGAAACTCCGTCTCAAAACAAACAAACAAACAAACAAAAAAACAAACAAACAAAAAAACAAAACAAAAAAAAAATAAAAATGAAAATATTTTAGACTAAGTGATATGAAGAAAATAAAACAGGGAGATGTGATAACAGAGGTTGCGTATTTTAGCTCACATGATTAAGTAAAACTTGCAGAGAAAAAGCTGAATAGTAAATGTAAAGAAGTGACTCATGTAAAGCTTAGATTGACAAGCAAGCTAAAAAGAAAACAAAAAACACAGCAGCTAAAAGCCCCTTTAGAAATGACCTTGAGATATTCAAGGAGTACCCAGGAGGCCCAAGAGGATGTGGTGGGGTAAGTGAAGGTTGCAGTAAAAGATGGCGTATGTCATGGATGCAGTGAAAGCTGGAGAATAGAAAGGGTGCAGTGGAGAATGGGGGGTGTAAAGGGTGTAGTGGAGAATGAGGGGTGTGAAGGGTGCATTGAGGGGTGGGGGGTGTGAAGGGTGCAGTGGGGGGTGGGCTGTGTGAAGGGTGCAGTTGGGGGTGGGGGTGTGAAGGGTGCAGTGGGAGTGGGGGTGTGAAGGGTGCAGTGAGGGTGGGGGTGCGAAGGGTGCAGTGGAGGTGGGGGGTGTGAAGGGTGCAGTTGGGGGTGGGGGTGTGAAGGGTGCAGTAGGGGGTGGGCTGTGTGAAGGGTACAGTTGGGGGTGGGGGTGTGAAGGGTGCAGTGGGGGGTGGGGGTGTGAAGGGTGCAGTGGGGGGTGGGGGTGTGAAGGGTGCAGTGGGAGATGAGGCAGGGAGCCTCAACATCATGCAAAGCTAACTTATTCCTGAGATAGAGAGTCTGGATTTTATTCTAGGCACAAATGAGAATTACTGTAAAATACTGAACAAGGGAGAGACATGACTAACGTTTAAAGTAACACTGTGACATCCAAGTGAGCCTAAAGTGGGGGCACAGAGGAATGGAAGCTGGGTGACCAGTTCAGAAGCTACGGGCAAGAAGTGCGTGTCTGTCAGTGCCAGGCAGCACAATGGTACCAGCCCAGGAGCACAGGCCGGGATATTAAAACAAGTATATGTTGCTTCTACCCTCAAGGCATAACCAGTTGTGCGTATGTGAGTGCTGGGGGCCAGCCAGCAGATGATCAGGGAGAACCCCCTCTATCTAGTAGTCAAAAGCCATGGATGCTAGCAGAGCTGACTCGGTGAAGACATATTCTATCAAAAACACATACAGCACCTCTGTTGAGAAGTACTAACCCTACACATAATTAAATACATGTTCTTCCTTTTTCCCTTAATATCATACTATAGCATTTCCCTAAACTATAAACACTCCTCTCTTCAATAAACACTCTTGTGTATACACTTTTGCCTACATTTCTCTTCTACCCATCTAACAATAAAAATACACACAATTCTCCTTCGTTATTCAGCCCATTAACGAGTCTGGGAAGTAGATGAAAGACCTAGGTTAGGATAAGAGCAAAGTGAGGTTCAGAGAGAGTCAGCACTTCCATGTCGCAACCATTCTAACTGGATCATGTAGCCTCAGAGTGCAGAGCCACCTGAGTATTCTCTCCATTCTTCCCAAGCACCTTCCAAGCAAGGGATGATCCAAGTGTTTGGTGGTGACCTGGAAAGGGCCAGCCCCCAAGCACGTTTTGGAGTTCAGTCCAGTCATCTCAGACCCATGGCTGATTAAAACCTTAACATGAAGAACCATGAAGACTCAACCCAGATTCTGGATTCTAAAAAATTAAAGATTCCCAGACTTCAGAGCCTGGGACTCACGGAACTCTAAAGCTATGAAATCACACACTTTCAGAAGTAGAAAGGCCCCAGTGTGGTGTTCCTCACCTTGCAGGTCATGGAAATGAGGCACAGAGGGCCACGTCCAGTGGCTTCCTCTTTGCCTAGTTAAGCCATCTTCCCTTCTTCCCTCCTCCCTCCCTCTTCCTCCCTCCTTCATCTTCCCGCCTCTCCCACACCCCCTCACGGTCTTCGGTGAGCATTCCCCAGCCGGTTATCCAACAGGACACGTTACTGGGCAGCTGCATGTCCCGGGATGGGAGGCAGACAGGGACAACGTAGGAAGTGAAGTTCACAGGCGGGTGCAGCTGCAACATGGCAATGTCACTCCCAAAGGTGTGGAGCTTCTCAAAGTCTGGGTGGGTGATGATCCGGTGCACAGACTTCTTCTGGGTGTGCTGGGTTTCATGATAGAGCTGGGTGTTTCCCAACAGAACCTGATAGTTCTCCAGGGCCTGGGATTTGCTGGAGGAGGAAAGCCCCATTTTTACCATCCTCGGGGAGTACAGAGCAGCACCCTCTCTTGCATCCACGTGTAACTGCCCACACACCTATGAGTCCTTCTCCCCTGACATGATTCCAGACAGCTTTGTATCCCCCTTTCTGACAGTCAGGAGCCCTCTTTTTTTTTTTTCTTTTTTAAGACAGAGTTTCGCTCTTGTTACCCAGGCTGGAGAGCAATGGCACGATCTCGGCTCACCGCAACCTTCACCTCCTGGGTTCAGGCAATTCTCCTGCCTCAGCCTCCCGAGTAGCTGGGACTACAGGCATGCCCAGCTAATTTTTGTATTTTTAGTAGAGACGGGGTTTCACCCTGTTGACCAGGACGGTCTCGATCTCTTGACCTCGTGATCCACCCACCTGGGCCTCCCAAAGTGCTGGGATTATAGGTGTGAGCCACTGCGCCCGGCCGCCCGCTTTTTATTGAGACTGAGTTTCACTCTTGTTGCCCAGGCTGGAGTGCAATGGCACGATCTCAGCTCATAGCAAACTCCACCTCCCAGGTTCAAGTGATTCTCCTGCCTCAGCCTCCCGAGTAGCTGGGATTACAGGCATGCACCACCACGCCCAGCTAATTTTTTGTATTTTTAGTAGAGACGCGATTTCTCCATGTTGGTCAGGCTGGTCTTGAACTCCCAACCTCAGGTGATGGGCCCGCCTCAGCCTCTCAAAGTGCTGGGATTATAGATGTGAGCCTCCGTGCCCTGCCGTGGAACTATTCTTTTTTTGAGGTTCATGGATAGTCTACTCACAACCTCAGGACATATGGCTTCCCCAGCACACCCTTGAATCAGAGGAGCAGAGAATCCTACAGCCAGAAAAGTCCTGGACAGAGTCATCAAATTGAGCCCTTTTATTTTACACGAGAGGAGCTCTGGCTCAATTCTGGCTCCAGACTGACCCTTCTGAAGGCTGCCTATGACCCGCTTCCTGGCCTAACCACCTTTCCTGCCCTCTCTCAGGGTGTCTTCCCCGCTGTTGTAAGCACTCATACAGGATTTATTCAATGCCCGGATGAATGCATGAAACTGAAGCTGTCCTTGTTCCTGAACACAACGACGGAACTTTTGACCTTTGTCACTTTGTTCACACGGGCCAGCCACCAGGAAAGCCCTCGCCACACTCCCCATACCAAAGCCTCCTCTTCTGGGAAGCCCCTGCAGCTCCTCATCCTCCCTCAAGGCTGCAGCATCTCTCCGGACGCCCCTGCCTTGGGTCAGCTTTGTCACCCACTCTGCGCTTTCCCTCCTGCATCCTGCTTGTTGGAGCTTGTGTCTCACCTTCCCACAGAGACACCTTCACTTGGGGTCTTGCCACACCCTATGCCATAGAGCAGGCGTCCCCAAACTTTTTACACAGGGGGCCAGTTCACTGTCCCTCAGACCGTTGGAGGGCCGCCACATACTGTGCTCCTCCCACTGACCACCAATGAAAGAGGTGCCCCTTCCTGAAGTGCGGCGGGGGGCCGGATAAATGGCCTCAGGGGGCTGCATGCGGCCTGAGGGCCATAGTTTGGGGACACCTGCCACAGAGGGTCTTGGGTGGCGTGGCACACAGGAGATGCCCACAGCACCCAGTTAGAGTCTCAAAGCCACTAAGTGCCCAAGCTGACTTCCTACCTGGACTGTGATGCCTTCTTCTCCCTCTGGGTCCCTCCAACTGTTCAGAAGCTGGGCACTGAGTCAGGTTCAGGAGGTCCAGAAAAGTTGCACCCCTGACTGTCCATGACATTCTCCAGGGTCAGGGGGCCCCACTCTTCCCACCCATGCAGCCTGGCACAGCTCCTCCAGGCATAGAGTTTTACAGAAAAAAAGAGTTGCCTGGCCGCTGGCTACATGCAGAGTCCCCAGTCCCTGCTGGAGTCTGACTCACAGGAGTGTGCAGACACTGAAGAAAAGCCCTGCTGGTGGCCAAGAGAGGCGCTGCCAATGCTCTCAGGCACGGCTAGGTTGAGCAGACAGACACAGGGGCCAGGGACCCCCCGCCAGAGCTGAAGATGGAGGATCAGGAGGGTCTGGGCAGATGGAGGAAGCGCTGGGTGGAGAGTGGGGAGGACAGTCCTGGTAGAGGGGACCGCGGGCCAAAGGCAGGCACCACATCAGTGTGGTGGCAGCAGACTTCTCCAGAGCAAAGCCCAGAGGAGAGACAGAACCCACCCCAGACCCCCAACCCTCGTCCCTTGCATCTTTCTCCCCACCAGCCCCTCTGCTGGAGGTCCAGGGAAGGAGGACTCACTTGAGAAAGCAGTGGGCAGTTGACAGCAGCCAGCGGGAGTTGATGAGGACAGCTCCGCAGAGGTGCGAGCCCCGGTAGAGAAGGCTGGCCTGCCATGGCCACTGGCCAGCCGCTGCATCCCGGCCACCATAGATCTTCCCTACCACCTGAGGCTTCCCACACACTGTGGAGACACCCCCGTCCACCTGTTAGAGACACTAGTGGTGCCCATGACTGCCACCCCAGTGAGGCCTCTGCTCTCTTCAGAGATGGGAAAACCAAGGCCGAAGAATAGGTGACCTGGCCAAAATGACCGAGGGCTACCCCCGCGTCTGCCTTCTATGGCCACTACCAGGACCAGATGACAGAGCACAATTGAGCGGGCTCTGTGGGAATGAGGGCCCAGGGGTCTTGTGGGAGGGGCAAGGCTGACCCAGGGTGGTCACAGCAGCTCATCCTTAACCGGACCTGCCGAGGACGGGTGGACTGGAACCCAGCCCTGGGACTTTATTTCCTCACCAGAACACCTGTATGCCTCCTTTGCAGATCAAAGAACTGAAGGTCTCAGAGGTGTCTAAGTGGCCGTGCCCTCTCAACCCCACCCCAGTACCCCAGGGAGAGAGACCAGCAGGCAGAAGTCTGTTGTGCTGTGTGACTTGGGAAAACTTGCTCCCCCTTTCTGATTCCCGATGTTTTATTTTTAAAAGGTGAGGGGTGGGGCTGCTGCTGACAACCTTGGTTCTGAGACTTCTGCCTGGGAGGCGGAGCTGTGAGCCTGGGCTCCTGACAGGCAGTGCCCTGGTCCCTGGCCTGTGTTTCCAGGCCTCAGGAAGTGGACATGAAACCCCACGGCCCACCCCATTATCGGCGCGCAGCAGTCCTGGTGCTCTTTCCCTTCACCCAGCCCCAGCGCCAGGCCCCGGCACCCCATCCAGTTCCGTGGGCACCATACCCAGTCCTGGGACCGAGAGTGGGCAGCCTGACCCCCTGACCCACCGTGCCTGATGCCGTCTCTGGGGCCACCTGGTTGGGAGCGCAGGGGAGAGAGACAACGGACTCGGGTGACTTCCGGCCCTAGGCACCAGGCCCCGAGCCCCGCCTCCTCCCCACCGCCTGTGGCCGCAGTTCCCCCAGGTCTCCCTGACGGCTGCTCACCCCACCTGGTCTTGCCGAGACCTCGACCCCCTGCCCCTGTGGCCCAGGGGCCCGCTCAAATGCTCCCTGTGCCCAGCCGTCGCCTCCCCGAGGCCCGCTCGGCCCCACGCCCTCTGCTTCAAACGGACCTTGAGTTCTGACTACGGGTTCCTGGCCCTCCTGCACCCCCGGGCTCTCTCTGGCCTCCCCCGGAGCCTGCGAGGGGCTAGTGGCGTGGGACTGCGAGGCAGAGGCGGCCTCTGGGCTCAGGAGCAGCAGCAGCAGCAGCAGCAGCAGCAGACACCAAAGCAGGTGGCCTGGCTGGGCTCCGGTCCGTGTTGCCCCCACACGCATCGCCTGACGCCAGGACGGGAAGAAGGGGAACAGGAGCCGACCCCGACACCACCCTGATACGGGTGAAACAGGCGATGACTCCTGGCCCTGACCCCTGGGAAACAGGTCATGACCTCGCCCTGACCCCAGCACCAGCCGGGCACCGAACCCAGTCTCTAACCCCGTCAGGAGACAGCCCCTAACCCCGCCCTGACCCCGCCTTGACCCCATCCATGGCCAGCTCCTGACCCTGCCCTGACCCCGCCCATGCCCAGCCCCTGACCCTACCCCCCGCCCTGACTCCTCCCATGTCCAGCCCTTGACCCTACCCTGATCCCCTAGGCCCAGCCCTGATCCCTCCCATACCCAGCCCCTGACCCTGCCCTGTACCTGCCCCTGACAGGTTCTGAACAGATGCGGCAGCCAAATTAATGAGGAAACAAAAGGAGACGTAAGCTTAGAAACATGATAAAGGATATGAAAAGGTAATTCATGGAAACAGGAATTAAAAGACCCATACTTTGGTTCCTGAGCAAAGTAATGCTTAATCAATCACTCATGGTTAACTGTCTCTTAACACAGCTGCTAAAAGTAGATCCTGTATTCCCTCAGCCAGAGCCCTGTCAACTTAATCAGGACTCCACAGTGCCACTGGGAATTTTGGTTCATGAGAAGGGCTTATTTACTTCTAGCAGTGTCTCTATCAGTTAAAGATAAAATCAAGGCGGGCGGATTGCCTGAGGCCGGGAGTTTGAGACCAGCCTGACCAACATGGAGAAACCTCTCAGGTGGATCATGAAGTCAGGAGATCGAGACCATCTTGGCTAACACGGTGACACCCTGTCTCTACTAAAAATACAAAATTAGCCGGGCGTTGTGGTGCATGCCTGTAATCCCAGCTACTCTGGAGGCTGAGGTTTCCGTGAGCTGACATCGTGCCATTGCACTCCAGCCTGAAGAACAAGAGTGAAACTCTGTCTCAAACAAAAGGAGGTTGGGGGTGGGCACCGTGGCTCACGCCTGTAATCCCAGCACTCCAGGAGGCAGAGGCAGGTGGATCACCTGAGGTCAGGAGTTTGAGACCAGCCTGGCCAACGCAGTGAAACCCTGTCTCTACTAAAAATGCTAAAAAATTAGCTTGACGTGGTGGCGGGCACCTGTCATCCCAGCTACTTGGGAGGCTGAGGAAGGAGAATCACTTGAACCAGGGAGATGGAGGTTGCAGTGAGCTGAGATTGCACCATTGCACTCCAGCCTGGACAAGAGTAAAACTCCGTCTCAAGAATAAATAAATAAATAAATAAATAAATAAATAAATAAATAAATAAAAAACCATGCTCCTGATGGCAAAGCTCACACGAACATAATACTTTCCCACAACCCACTCCAATAGCCTATCAGTTCTTTACCCCCATAAAGCCCTTCCAGCTCTCCCTGAATGCTGCTCCAGGGTGGATACCCTCACAGGAGTCCTCTGGTCCTCTCTTAGATACTCATGTGCAGGTGGCCTGTCTGAGGAGGGCCTGCGTTGTTCAGTCTGGGCTGGGAGCTCCACCTCAGGCCTCTGCTTATGGTCTTGGTTATTTTCTCTCACAAGCCTGTTCTTGCTCATCAGACCTCCCGTGAAAAGCTCTGCTGAATGAGACAGCACATTGCTCTATTAAGAGAGAATGTAAATGACAGCTATCTCATTAGAAGAAGTGGGGCTGAGTGGCATGGCTCATGCCTGGAATCCCAGCACTTTGAGAGGCCAAGGGGAGAGGATCACTTGAGCCCAGGAGTTCAAGACCAGCCTGGGTGGGGAACATAGCAAGACCTCATCTCTACAAAAATTTCAAAAATAAAAAAAACTGTCATGAAGCTCAAGGTCATGCTGTGAAATGAAACAAACAAAAGTCTATCAGCAAATCTAAAGCCATCTTCTTTTAGAATTTAACACTTTACTATTATTACACACTATATATAACCCTTATGTATAAATGTTGCACTTTTTGCTGTTTTACTTTAGGTTTTTCTCTTGCTGGTTATATTAGTCTGTTCTCACATTGCTATAAAGAACTACCTGAGGCTGGGCACGGTGGCTCATGCCTGTAATACTAGCACTTTGAGAGGTTGAGGCAGGCAGACTGAGTTCAGGAGTTTGAGACCAGCCTGGGCAGCATGGTGAAACCCTGTCTCTACTAAAATACAAAAAATTAGCTGGGGGTTGTGGTGCGTGCCAGCTACTCAGGAAGCTGAGCCATAAGAATCGCTTGAACCCAGGAGGTGGAGGTTGCAGTGAGCCATGATTGTGCCACTGAACTCCAGCCTGGGCAACAGAGCAAGACCTTGTCTCAAGAAAAAGAAAAGAAAAAAGAAAAAAAAAATAAACCCCCAAACCAAAACGACTACCTGAGACTGGACAGTTTATTTAAAAAACAAGTTTAACTGACTCTCAGTTCCACTGGCTGTACAGGAGGCATGACTGGGGAGGCATGGCTCAGGAAATTTACAATCATAGGTGAAGGTGAAGAGAAGCAAGTACATCTTCACATGGTGACAGGAGAGAGAAAGTGAAGAGGGAAGTGCTACACACCTGCAAACAACCAGTTCTTGGGAGAACTCACTATCACAAGAACAGCGAGGGGGAAATCCACCACCATGATCCAATCACCTCCCACCACACCCTCCCCCAACATTAGGGATTACAATTCTTTTTTATTTTTTTTTTAAGACGTGGTTTCACCATATTAGTCAGGCTGGTCTTGAACTCATGACCTCAGGTGATCCACTTGCCTCAGCTTCCCAAAGTGCTGGGATTACAGCCGTGAGCCACCACACCCGACAGGGATTACAATTCAACAGGAGATTTGGATGGGGACACAGAACCAAACCATATCATGGGTAAAAGGTCATCATATTCAGTCATTTCCTCCCATGTCAGAGGAACGTTTGCAATGTCTTTCCTTATGGCTATATGTTGTGGGTATATTTATCTTGACTTCAGCAGTATTATCAACCTCTTATTTCATGGTATTTTCTTTCCCATTAGCTCAACACTATGTATTTTCCTTCCCATTAGCTCAACACTATGAACTCCTCCCGCATTCTATATTAAAGGGAGTTAATTTTTTTGTAGTCCAACCAACTTCCTTTTTCATTATAGAAAAATATACCTACAAATTACCATTTTAATCTTTTTTTTTTTTTTTTTTTTTGAGAAAAGAGTCTTGCTTCTTTGTCACCCAGGCTGGAGTACAGCGGCAAGATCATAGCTCACTGTAACCTCAAAAATGTCAAACTTCTGGACATAAGCAGTTTTTCCTGTCTCAGACCCTTGAGTATCTTGAATTACAGACACATGCCACCACAGCTGGCTAAGTTTGTCTTTTTTTCTTTTGCAGAGACAAGGTCTTGCTACGTTTCATAGGCTGGTCTCAAAGTCCTGACCAAAGCAATCCTCCCGCCTAAGCCTCCCAAAGTGCTGGAATTACAAGTGCAGGCCACTGAGTCAGCCTTTTTGTTGTGTCTTTTTCTGGTTTTGGTATCAGGGCAATATTGGCCTCTTAGAATGAACCTGGATCCTCCTCTTTGATTTTTTGGAATAGTTTGGATAGGACTGGTATTAGATCTTCTTTAAATGTTTCATAGAATTCAGCAGTGAAGTTATCAGATCCTGGGCTTTCCTTTGATGGGAGACTTTTTTTTTTAAAATCACTGCTTCAATCTTGTTACTTGTTACAGGTCTATTTGAGTTTTGGATTTCTTTTTTGTCTCCCAGGCTGGAAAGCAGTGGCATGATCTCGACTCACTGCAACTTCCACCTCCCAGGTTTAAGCAATTCTCCTGCCTCAGCCTCCTGAGTAGCTGGGATTACAGGCCTGTGTCACCATGCCCGGCTAATTTTTGTATTTTCAGTAGAGACAGTGTTTCACCGTATTAGCCAGGATGGTCTCAATCTCCTGACCCTGTGATCCTCTTGACTCAGCCTCCCAAATTGCTCGGATTACAGGCGTGAGCCACCACACCCAACCGAGCTTTGAATTTCTTTATGGCTCAACCTTGGTAGGTTGTATATGTCTAAGAATATATCCATTTCTTTTTTTTCTTTTTTTTTTTTTTTTTTGAGACGGAGTTTCGCTCTTGTTACTCAGGCTGGAGTGCAATGGCGCGATCTCGGCTCACCGCAACCTCCGCCTCCTGGGTTCAGGCAATTCTCCTGCCTCAGCCTCCTGAGTAGCTGGGATTATAGGCACGCGCCACCATGCCCAGCTAATTTTTTGTATTTTTAGTAGAGATGGGGTTTCACCATGTTGACCAGGTTGGTCTCGATCTCTCGACCTTGTGATCCACCCGCCTCGGCCTCCCAAAGTGCTGGGATTACAGGCTTGAGCCACCGCGCCCGGCCACATTGTGTTATTTTATAGATGTAGTATCTTACATCTCTAACGACATTAACACATTTGGCAGGGGGAATCTTCTCACTGCATCATTTGATCCTTGAAAATTGCTTTTGTTTTCTTTTGGTTTTGGACTAGAGGCTTTCATTAGATCTCTGGTAATTCTAAATGGGAGTCTCACGAATAAGAGCTGGGGCCTAAAACACTGACCTGAGTATGGGTGGGACTTCTCAACTCTGAAGTTAATTGCTGGAATGAGCCCTTTTCCCCTGCAATACTTGGTGTCAATCTTTTATATTCCTTTGCTATAGTGGACAGTATATATAAAGCTTGTTTCTAGTACAGTACTGTGTAGAAAGGAATTTGGCCTTGCCCTTGGGATGTTATGCTACATAGGCATGCTTTTGTTTACCTGGGATCTTGGGTTATAATGAATAGCCTTGACAATGTAATTTATGGTTGGGGTGGGACAAATCTATACAGTCTTATGGTAGTGGGGTACAACACACCAGAAATACCAACAATGTGATTTAGGGTGGAGGTTTTGGGTCATGCACTCTCAGCTGACCTAGACTGTGATTAACCACATGGACAATTAATCATGCATACATAAAGCAGCCCCAATAAACCCTGGGTTCCAAG